TGTTCGTTCATTTTGAGCAATCGTTCCAATTAAACAATCCTCAGCAATGTTGTTGTGGTTGCCGTATGTAAAACGCTCCTATTCAATTCATTTCCGATCAATCCCAACAAAGTTCTCAACGTAATTGACTATCCTTTCCACGAGTACAACTAATATTACAACAATAACAACCACTACCATCAAAACGATTACAATTATTCCTGCTAAGCAACACTAAACTCTTTGTTCTAATCTCATCGCTCAACCGCACTCATTCGCTCGCAATTTTCAATTTAATCTTCTTTCAATTTCTTTTTTTTGTGAACGAAACCCACAAAAAGGCTGTCGGTTGAACTTGTTTTCACGATAGGATTTCGTGAAGTGTGCTTTATTTATATACATTCGCAAGTTTTTATCTTGTTAAGAAATGTGGTTTTTTGTAGTAACAATTCGCCAGTGCTAACAATTCATCGGGGAAATTTTATATTATCAACAATAACACCGAATACGCTTGTTCTTACACATATATTTATGTGAGTAACTATCATTGATAGCAGTCGAATTAGTTATAGTTCATTTTCAGTCTTACTACTTCAATAATAGTGATGATGAAAATAGTGTAATGCGGGACGGAAAAAAATCGGGGACAGGGAAAATACGGGATGAAATTTTGTAGTCGAGGACCCCGAAAATGTNATCAGCTCGAAAAAAGTCGGAGAAGGGTATCCCGAGATTGCCCGCTCTCCACATCTCACTAGGTAAAAGTAATGATCAAGCTTGACTTGTCCAGCAGTAAACGGATTAAGAATGCGTGCATGACACACGCTCAGATCCATTCAGTAATTGTTTATTGTTATCTCACACAACGCGATCCTACTGGACGATATAGCTTTGCGGCAAGGTGTTGTTCGAGGTCTATGTGGTTAGTTGACAATGAATTTTCAATAAATTTACAAGTTTACTAGGTAACAGTTGGGTTCAGCATGTTGGATTTAGGCGATAGACCATGATGTATGAGATGTATTATGCATGCTAGATTAAAATCATCACGAAGAAGCAACATCGACAAGATGCTGCTGTGTATCATTAAATAATATTATGAAGAAGCGTCAGAGAAACGAACCTATTAGTAGAATGGCTGCTATAAGTGTGTATGGATGGATAATCGCTTTCGGTTGTTGATCGACAACGTCATGCAGGAATTTTGCAGCTGTACACGATGAATTGAAGATGATGATGTTGATAATGTACGTCGAGAGATAATGAAATGACTAGTTCTCACTGTACTGTTACACGGTGAATGGGCGGATGCATGGACACCAAAATGAGGGAAATATGATACTTGTGGTAATAGTCGAAAACCTTACCAATAGTACTAATAATAATAATGGCTTAGGTTTGAGTGCTGAGCGATGAAGAAATGTTTAAATCAACATTATATCCATCCTCCTACATTATGGGTCTATTCATCTAGACGTATTCAACAATCCCTGAAGGAAGCATTTTGATAGATATGCTCCTAGACTACATCCTTTTATCCTCCTAATCCATTCCGCATTCAAGATCCCATGAGAGCTGAGAGGTTAACTTTCATCAGCCGGCCGGCAAGCACAAAAGAGATATGAAGAAAATAAGGCAAGCAAGCATCGTTCATGTTGGGCTGTTCATCTATCATCATCATCAACATAATAATGATGGCAACGTTGATGACAGCAACAATACTTTCAAGAAGAAGCATGCGCTATAACACATTGTGTGTGAATATGCTTGCTGTAGCATTCACTGCTTTAAGTGCTGCTACATTTAGTGGACGAATCGAGAAAAGGGTCTATTATTGTAGATGCACTGAGAGGGAATAAGCTTTAATGCTGTTTCTATCGCCATTGTTATCGCTGATGAAGTTTTATTTTAGCATTTAATATGAGAATCTTTTGGCAATTTCATATTTTGGTCAATAAGCAGCGAGTAAATTTGATGATTTTGGATTTAATCATCAAAAAAATCCACTTTTTTGGTTATCGTTCCATTGTCAGCTACTCACTCTCATGCGACGTGTTCTTCAAACTCATATTAAGTTATTGACTGTCTCAAAATTCTCAAGGAAACAGTGTTAGATGACGAGAATAACATCCGACACACGCAATTACTGATAATCAAAAACGTATTTTAAATTCATGCAGTCATTTTCCACATAAATTTTCATCTATTATCGTTGAATTTATCGAGTCTGAGCCAACAAGCAGTGATTTCGGCTCATGTATATGTATATATCGATGTAATTTTCGAATATTGTTACATCTTGTGTTGGCTGAGTTATTCATCGTAATGTCGTTATTGTTGTTACTGAATCATCAGCTCGCCTCCTCAGAACACAACAAAACTTCATTAACGAGCAAATTCATCCATCCTCCTCGAGATTCGAGTGTAGCTGTTACGTCTAAGTTTAGTTACTTACTTGTTCCGTTATTGATTCCTCAGAACTGATTTATTTCTTTTCTGAGAATCATCTCTCTCCGATTGTAGATCAGTTTTCTGGCCATTTCCCTCGACTTGAAATGACAGTGAAAAGTGTTTGACACTCCGTTGTGGTTGAAGCGTTTTCATATTCATCGATTCCGAAATGCACTGAACAAAGCCGTATCAAATGATCATTTCTAAACGATCATTTCTAATCAGATGGAAAGATTTTTTTGAGGTGGTAAGACTTACTTCTAGAAGGTGACGAAAATTTTGGTATTGGTCTTTCAGCTTTGCTGAGCGATTATGGATTCCACAAATGATTAGTTATGGTCATATCTCGTCTGAATGGTTGCGAATTCGTTGTGTCCGTCGTGGGCATAAATGTGAAAGGGTAATGTTTTATTCGATGACGTAATGTCCAATTATCGTTCGAAGGCCACTGAATTCGCATGAAAATTTTCTCACAATCATGGATTATAGAACTTCATAAAGTTGATGAGATAGATTATCGTGAGCAAAGTATGTATTTTCACATGTACCGTACTGCTTGATTATGACTTTCGGCTTCCATTACTTATTCAGCATTGATTTGTTCAGTACGTCCCCCACCCTGCCCATAAAAGCTTTGCAGATGATGTGCGGATAAATTGTACGGCATTGAACTATTCAGGGATTATTGAGAGGGCTTTAATTCCGGTTTTGAGTGTAAGTCACGAATGAACTTGTTGAATTTAGGATTTACTGAATGCTCAACTGATCGGTTAGCTGACACTGAATAGGTAGGCATTGTGCGTGCACGATTCCGTGCTATCGACGGAGAATGTTCCAAGAAAAAATTCAGTTATTTGGTGAAAGGGATTCTATTGTGTTGAAAAGGCAACGAGATTTCAGTGGTCACGAAATGGATTGTTCAATTCTCCGTTTCATGGAAGCCTTTCGAAGTATTTTGAAATGATTTATTCATGCGTTCGAATTCCATTCATTTCGATATGGTTAATTCTCAGTTGAATTCATTCC